CCACGATGGGCCTGCGCCCCCTGCTTGTTAGTAAAAATCAATGGACCCTTGTGACTCCAAGGGTTTCAGACACACGCCGCCCACAAGGGGGGGGCATGGAAGACTGAGGTTTAGATTGAATTGCATGTGCACGCGCAAATAGACAAACGAGTGAGGACATGACAGCAAGACAAGACTGGACAAGGTGTATGTGGTTGCGATGAGAAGGAACCAAGTGACCAGGAACAACCAAATGAGCCAAACCTCCTTATAGCAACCTGGGCGACCTCAGACCTGGGTGAGATGACGAAACATGAAGCCAGAAAGACATGAAAAGAAAGAGGAAAGAAATTGTGTGCGAAGGGAAAAGGTTGAAGAGGGAACCCAATGGAGGGACTCAAGATAATGCATACTGATGTGAACGCCACTCGCCACACGGTACCCGGTAATCTTCCTAAGAGTTCTGGGGCGCAGAAACCTAATCTTCAAAATCACGAAGTCGACGAAGAGTCGATCGAGGAGCGCTTGTCTGGAGAGCTCGAACCGATGCAAAGGCTAGCAATTTGTTCTAGTAACAAAGCGGCCCAGAGGGAAGTAAATGGTAATCATGGCAGGTGCGTCGCTGGACGTCTCCAGTGATATCTTCAGGACACTGCTCCACTCCCCTGCTAAAAAGGAAATGCAAAGCGTTTCAAAAAGACACACATCCAAAGGAATCCCTGTGACTCCAAAGGCTTCACGCACTTATGGAAACGCGCGCTGAACTCAATGCCACACGGCGACCTAGGTAACCAGATTCCTGAGGAATCAGGCAAAGGGGCCTGAACATCGCTAGTCATTTGGAGGCCAAAGGTACAAGGTCAACGATCTCAAACACGGAAGCGCGACAAGGCGACCGCGGTCCGTGTAAGTCTGCAAAGTTAAGCTTAAAAAACAAAAATTTAGAAGATGGCCACCAGCTGGGTCTTATTATGCGCCCAGGTGCACCAATGCAGGTACGTTTGCGCGACAACTTGGATGGGTCTTCGTTGGCCCACGCCATCCAAGTGTCCATGGGCCCCCCTGCTCATCATTCAACATTCAAAACAACACATCCGAAAGGGTCCCTGTGACTTGAAGGGTTACACACACGCCTCCCACAAGGGGAGGCAAAAAAAGCTGAGGCCAGGACTAATGTGCATGTGCGCGCGCAGCAAGGACAAAAAAGATGAAGACATGAAAAGGGGAACAAGACAGGACAGAAGTGTACGTGGTTGCAATGAAGAAGAACCAGTTTCACAGGGACAACCAACGAAATACCCACATCATTGTCAAACCTGGGCGACCTGAAAGCTGGTTTTAAATAAATGTTCACGTACAAACTAAGGGCAGGACCAATGTGCTCGCAAAAGAAAGAATGAGATGCCAAGACATGAAGGCAGGAAGACATGAAAGAAAAGAGGAAAGAAGATGTGTGTGAGGAAGAAAAGGATTAAAAGAGGAAACAAATGGAGGGGCCAGGAAGCGAAGAAACCAAACCTCATAGGAAGACTTGCCTAATTTGGTGTGTGCGCGCTGTGTGGGGGCAGATCCTAATGAATCCTCAACAAACCTTGGTCGCTGCGAACACCTCGTGGCATAAAGCCTGCCCTAGTCCGCTCCGGACACGTTCTGGTACGCCCGAGCTGTACTTAGTTTCAATAGTCCATCAGGTCTTGGCAAATAACTTTGGTGTATACGTTGGAAAAGCGCCCGTTCGACGGGTCCACGGTCCACATGCAGGGGGCACTCCTCGGGCCCACCCTGGGATCTCACTGAGGAGAGACGCGCTTGTGGAAATGCGTGCTGAACTCAATGCCACTCGCCACACGGCAAGCTAGGTAACCATTTTTTTGATTAATCAGGTAAAGGTGCTAGTCATTCGGAGGCCAAAGGTTCAAGGCCAACGATCTTGAACACGGAAGCGCGACAAGGTGACGATGGTCCGTGCAAGTCTGCAAAGTTAAACTTAAAAAACAAAAAGTTAGAAGATGGCCATCAGCTGCGTCTTATTATGCGCCCAGGTGCACCAATGCAGGTGCGTTTGTGCGACAACTTGGATGGGTCTTCGTTGGCCCATGCCATCCATCCAAGTGTCCACGGGCCCCCCTGCTCATCATTCAACATTCAAGACAACACATCCGAAAGGATCCCTGTGACTGCAAGGGTTACACACACTTATAGAAATGCGTGCTGATGTGAACGCGACGCCGCACGCCAGCCTCAGAAACCAAATCCTGAAGCCAGGTGCGGGGGACTGCGCGCCTTTAGTTAAAGGCCAGAGGTCAAACACCACGATGCGACGAGCCGACAGGCGCGCCGTGCGTGACTGCAGACGCATTAGCACTTTACCAAAAGATTAAAATTTGCAGGTACGCCCAGCTGGCCAAGCTGGATATCCCACCAGATTGCATAGCTTTGTTGGACACGGTCTGCAATCTGGTGCCGTGTCCCGCTGAAAGAAAAATGAAGTTTCGCAATCCTACAGGATCCCTGTGATTTCAAGGGGCGCACACGTCCTTGCGCCTAGTAGTAAGGCCAGGAGACCCTAGTAGCGTCCCACTCTAAGGTCCCGACAGGAGGGAGGGGTAGGGAGAGAAGAAAAATAAGAAGAAAAAGAAGAAGGGAAAGGAAAAGAAGGTGTTCCCAGCTACGACACAAGCGTCCAAGAACACACCAAGAGAAGGAGAGAAGGGTTCCCAGCTATGACGAAAGCATCCAGGCACACCCAGAGAGAAAGAGAGAAAGAGGGAAAGGAAAAAAGGAAAAAAAGGGGAAAGGACGAGACCAGGCGTTCCCAGCTCAAGCGTCCAGGGACACACCAAGGAGAGGGGTAAATCTGAGTGTCACATTCAGGAATACCACAAAAATGCAAAGAGAGAAGAAGCGGAGGGTAGGGGGAGGAAGGGGACTAAGGTCCCGACAGACTCCGTCGAGTCTTCAACATGCTTCGGCCGCTGCGGCCACGTACGCCGCGCCAGAATGGCTGGCTGCTTAGACCGCTATGGTCACGTAAAGGCATGAGCCAGCTTGGAATTCAATAATCCGACACATCTTGGCAAGTAACTTTGGTCTAGGCCACCTACGCCCGTTCTCGGGCAGGGGAGAAAATGCTCCTCGTGTGCACCTTCTGGGTAGATCTCCGAGACCGTAAGTGCTCGTTCATGTCGGTTGCCCCGCCTCTCCACATACTTCATGTCCACGTAGATGATGATGTTCACGTTGTTGACCATGGTCACGTCCTTGTTGATCACCTCGTTGTGCTTCCATTGGTGTTGCCCATGTCACGATATGGCATCCATAGGAATGGTGGAATCTCTAGTAGATGTGGGCCCCCAAGACTTCGTGTTCCATTTGGTGTTGTCTTGACTGGTGGCCCCCGGCGGTGCTAGTGCGGTTGAGGTCCGCCTCATTGGGTTTTTGGCACAGTAGTTCCAGAAGGCTTCTGCCCATCCCGATTTCTGAGGCTCGCTATTTCACGACGAAGCTCCTCGTTCTGGCGCGTCAGCTCTTCCAGCGTAGCCACCTCCAGCGCCCCCTGCAATGGAGTCCCTTTCCCTTCATGAACCGATTGTTCAGAATCGCTACATCGGTGGTGTTCATGACCACTCCCCCTAATTGAGGATTCCCTACTATCTGGTGGCATTGGAAGTTGGTCTCCACCTCGATGGTTTTGCGGCTCCTGTTTCAACGCCCGTTCGTCACGGCCCCCCCCAATGTTCAGGAGGTTCGCGCCTTTGACTTCCCTCTGCGCTGATCCGCCGCTGGGTGGCATGTAATCGTTGATGACGTCCAGCACTGACTCCATGCCCCTCAGATTGCCCATCATCCCTTTCCAGCTCTTCTGAGTCTCCGTGGTCAGTCACGGCCACTTCGCCTGACCCGGTATGTTTTCACAAGTGACATTCAAGCTTCTTGGTCCAGAGACCTTGTGATGAGAGATTTGGCATTGACACATGGCTCGAATTGTGAATTGGAAAGTATGGCCTCCTTTCCAACTGGTATGTAATTCACCTATTGGTTATGCTCGCAAATGCTGCGCGGTATCCCAGGGAACCTTTGACCTCCAAAACACGGCGACTGCACCTGCCACGAAAAGTGACTTTTAAGGATAACCACTCCCACTCAGACACGCATTTCATGTGAGGGTGCAACTTGTGCTTTACCGGCGCCACGCTCCACGCGCGCGCGTGTGTTTCCAGGCACCTCACCGCTCTTAACTCCTTCACCACTGTTTGGGGAATGACGAGCATGAGTTTTGGGTCAGCGTGGTGTTCGGAAACCAAAAGCTTGGCTTCGGAAACTAAAACGTGGGTTTCGGAAACTTGGTTTCGGAAGGTTAGTTTCGGAAACTGGGAACGTTGGCTTCGGCAACTGGAACGTGGGTTGCGGCAACTGTGGCTCGACAACTGCAGGCGTGGGCTTTGGCAACTGGGAACCTACGTGGTGGTTCCCAGCATGCGCAACGGACATCATGATCCCTGGCCCCCACCCCCCCACCCCCAATATCCATTGCAAAGCCGACAAGGACAGTTGCTGAGACCGACAAAACCAAATTCTGAAGCCGACAAAAACCAGTTGTTGAAGCCGACAAAACCAGTTGCTGAAACCGACAAAGCCAGTTGCTGAAAACGACAAAACCAGTTGCTGAAACCGACAAAAAACCAGTTGCTGAAACCGACAAATCCAGTTGCTGAAACCGACAAATCCAGTTGCTGAAACCGACAAATCCAGTTGCTGAA